CACCTCTAAACCTTTCTGGTAAAAAAAATATCAGAGCCACAGTCCCTATGGGAAAATCCCAGCTCAGATAAAGAAAATGAAACTTCATTCACCCCAGTGTGACAGCTTTGGACTTTATCGATGTCATGTAATGTGGGTGCCATAAATCCCCCTACTAAAAACCAAGACACATCAATGCTAACTCGGTTTTATTTTTGCTTTCTCACTTGTCAGAATCCCAACGGCAAGACAGACTTGCATAAAATATTCAAACTCTATGAAGAGCCACAATTCTTTGTGAACACAGTGCAAACAGCTTCTGCACGACCCTATTTGGAAGAAACCTGTTTGGAATCGGAGCTCTCGCTGCATTAATTCTCTGGGTGGTGCTTACCTACAGTTTCTGCAACTATGCTGGTTAGTTAAGTTAGTTAGTTAAATTAAAATCGGTAAGAGGTTTAAAGAGAACCAGTTGAAGCCAGGGAAGCTGCATGGTGGAGTGATGCCACATCAGCTCTCCCTCTCTCATCTTTTGTTGTTGTTTCTGCTTGCTAAGTGCCACCTTGGCAGGACCTACTCTGTTCATACTCCCTGCCTGGGAGAGCAGGGCTGTAAGCAGTGGGACACCTCACCAGGCACAGCTAGGCAGCTACAAGTCCAGCTCTATTTTTTAAATTGCAGCATAACTTAAAATCGTGGCACCAAAAGGAAGGTGAGAAACCAGGTAGCCCATAGGTTTTCTGTGTCTTGTGTTTGGCTGTATTTCTTTTCTCTTTTATTATGTTAGTCGGTTGCTAAACAAATAAAATCAATTCTGAACTTATGAAAAGCAATTGGAAATGTCTAGTCTTTTATAGTGAAATCTTGACTGAAGCAGCCCACAGCACTTGGAGAAAAATCAATCATCGTTTCCATCCTGCTATGCATGCTACTAAAATTAAGAATTGATGTTCGGCTGCAATGGAAAATTATTTCAAGAGAACCACCTTAGCAACAGTTTTCAGTGTTCATAAAACTCCTGTTTACGATTCTTCTCATTACAAACTTCTACATTCCACCATGAATTATAAATATTAATGGACGATCCTGATTTACATAGTTTCCATCTTAATGGGGCATCAAAATTGCAAGCAGGGCAACAGCACCACTTATGGTAATGGCAAGTAGTAAATAAGTCCTCAGCCTGAAGATGTCATAAACCAAAGTGTTAAATGCCCCTATAATTACAGACTCTCCCACATCCAAATGAAACTTTGTATTATTTTGCCAGTGGCCTTTTCATAAAGACAGAAAGCCTGACAAGCTGGAGTGAGGCATCTGAAGAAGCACTTAACTCTGATGCGGCCTAAATATTTTAGTAATGTGCTCTGTCCATTTGGAAGCACCACTCGCCGCATTTTCTTTGATTTATTGCATTAAGCTTATGTAACTTGTACGATATTATGTACAGACCACATTAATATTCCTCTAGTATATGCTACAGTCATGTTGAAAACCACCCTTTCCCCCCAGTAATTTCCATCCCACCAGGTGTAGTTGTGTTTACTCATAAACATGCAGGTGATTGCCACACCACCACGCTGCTCATCCCACGCACAGGGGCCGTGCAGCATCAGCAGCCTGGGCTGTCCGACACCCTGAGCTCCGACACGGTGCCCTCCCCTCTGGCAATGGCAGCAGCTCCCACCCAGCCCTCAACAGCCAATTTTCTCAGCCCCTCTATGGTGTGGCTTGTGGTGGCAACAACAAAGTCACCTTGCTTCAGCAGGGCTTGCCATAAACCTGTGGCTATGTCTGGAGGCAGAGCAGCACATGCTTGGAAGGAGACAGCCCCAGCTGCCTCCCAAATCCACCCCAGGGTGCTCAGCTGCCTGAAGTGCTCTCAGAAGCAGCAAGGAGGGTGATGAGCACTGCATCAAAACCAGCTTTTTCACAACCGACTCAGTTCTGATCCAGGTGGCTCTCCCAGCCGTTGCTCTCTTGCCCATCAGTCCCTGGAGGAGCGATTCAGGCCCATTTACACCATCCTCAGTTCATCCCTTGTTTTGGTCTTTGCTATTCACAGCACTTGCAGGTCGAGAGACAGAAAGCTCTTTTGCAATGGACAGCTCAACTCTGTTATAGTTAGCTATATTTCTTCCATGTAAATATTTTTACAAGCGCTTAGTGGGATGCAGCAACTGATTACCATGCTTCAATTAGTGCAATTAGTGCCTGTGACGCTGCCTCCATGGAGTCGCCTCCTCCGTGGCCACGGTGGATGTGCGCTGCCACCTTCCCGCTCTCCCTCTGATGCCGGTGGAGGGACACAGCTCTGCCTCTGTCTTGTCATGTTTTTCTTTCAACTCACATACTTTATCTGTTTCAAAAATACTTCAGTCAACTTTTTGAATTCAATAACTGACTTTGATAGAGAAATTACTGTTCTAGTATATAGTAAATGACAGTGGTCTAGAACACTGTTAAATTTAAGTCTGGAAAATGAACTTTAATAAAATGCACTCCAGTAATGTACTGTGACAGCTTTTAGTGAAATCAGCTCCAATAGTTTGATTCTCCCAGGAACACAGCAAGATATACTCCAGCAGCCTTGAGCCATGGAATAAGAAAGCAGACAGCTTTATGATAAATGGCCCCAGAAACCTAAATTACAGCTGCAGCAAATGAACAATACATCGAAATTACTCTGTGGCTTTTTGTTGCCTCCCCGGAGCAGAGCTGCCTGCAGCCGCGCCGGTATGCGAGTGCGCACTGACACCTAGTGGGACTGCCCCGGGCGAGGAGCCTCGGGGTAAAAGTGGGTTTATTTAGTCGAAGAACAGCCAGCAATAACCAGCCCTCCCCGATACTCAACGGCGGCATGAGATGAGAAGTGTTGGGTTATTTGTGTCCCTTCCTCTCCTGCAAGCAAGCTGGTTTAGTTTTGATTTCTACACGCTGCAGCTTTGCCAGGCAAAGGACTGGCTTATCACTTCTCCTTTCTACTCTCCCTGCCAGGGTCCCACCTCACTCCTCCTCACCTACAGGCACATATCGGGGAGAAAGGGAAGGATTTACTGTGGATCAATCAAAGCCTGAAGATGCAGGTGTAGAGAGAGCCTTGCCAATTGCTCTGATGTTAAAATGCAACCTGCTGGTTAAACAGCAGGGTGTTAATGTAATCACACTGGGAGTACAGGCTTGGAAATCTTCCCTGACATGAGCCACAGCAACAATACCCCGGGGATTCACTCCTCTTGCAGGGAACTGGGCTGCTATGATCCCAGCTGCCGCTGAGCCAGTCCTGCTCTGACATGGGGGAATACTGGATTTAAAGCCCACTTGCAGTGTGGGAGAGTGATACCACCACACGGCTCCGCACACGGGTCTGGATGCTGGCTTCTCTAGAGCAGGTCCTGATATATCACAGAAAACTCACTGCAAGTTGGATTTGATTTAGAGGGAGAAAGATCATGAGGATGATTTGTCAGGAGGAAGGCTTACAGACCAGGAATCTCCCAACTGTTTCACAAATACCCTGGGCAATTTCCATCCGCACTGCCAGACAGGAATTGCACAGAAGCGGTGCCAGGCATCTTCTCCTTTTCCCACACAGTGTCACCAAAATTGGGAATAAACCTCTTCACACCAGTGCACCCTTAAGAAGCAGGCATCCTCTTTATTGCAGCACTGGATGCACGGAGGATTGCTCCACCTAATGTGTATGCACTAAAACAATAGTTCATCCTTTATATACCTTAAAGATGGGAATATTCATACATTTTCCAAGAAATCTCTGCCTTTCTGCCTATCTACTACCTTTACATAATGCTGGCATTGCAAAACTACACTACACATTCACGGGGGTCTCGGGTGGTCATCAGTGGTTGTTTGGGAAGTTAGCCCCCTAGTCCTTTTCCCCTTTTATGGTTACGAGTCTTTCAAGGACAGTTTCTTCTCCTTGGATATTTCCCAACTCTGTTGTCTGGCCAAGCTCTTCTTTCTTATCTGCCTTGTTTAAGCAATTCTGCCAGGATGTGTCTATTCTCAAGGTTAGGATATATTTTCTGTACACTTTAATCATTCAGGCCTTGTTAAATACAAAGTTAAACATTGTTTGGTAAAATAACTATTTTTAAAAAAAATTAAACTAATTAAAAGTGCTTCCCAAGCAGCTGGTACCATCACTGGTAACACATCACTGCTATAAAAATATCACAGTATTTATTACATTTATTTTCAGGTCTGAGAGCTGCACCTCCAGTGCCCCCAGCTCCCCCAGGGTCCCTCTGTTGTGCCCAGGAGGCTCATTACTGCCTCCGGGAGTCCCCCCAAGTCCCTGAGGGGGGAGCTACAGCCTCTGGTGAAGGAGCACAGGAACCTGAGGCCTCACCGCGATTCCTGGGTTGTTTCGCGCCCTTCACTCCAAAAAGGCCATTGAATGACTCGAGCGTGTCCAGAGAAGGACAACAGAGCTGGTGCGGGGTCTGGAGCACAGGTCTGATGGGGAGTGGCTGAGGGAACTGGGGAGGTTTAGTCTGGAGAAGAGGAGGCTGAGGGGAGCCCTCATCACCCTCTACAGCTCCCTGACAGGAGGGTGCAGAGAGGGGGGATGAGTCTCTTGAACCAAATAGTAAGCAATAGGACAAGAGGGAATGGCCTCAAGTTGCACCAGGGAAGGTTTAGACTGGATATTAGGAAGCATTTATTTACAGAAGGGGTTGTTGGGCGTTGGAATGGGCTGCCCAGGGAGGTGGTGGAGTCCCCATCCCTGGAGAGATTCAAGAGTCGGGTTGACCCAGCGCTGAGGGATCTGGTAAAGTTGGGAACGGTCAGGGTGAGATTCATGGTTGAACTGGAGGAGCTTCGAGGTCTTTTCCAACCTAGACGGTTCTGCCATTCTGTCTGTACCCAGGTAACTGCAGCTACATCCCGTCCGGGCGGAACGACTGGAGGAGTCCCCGGGTCCCAGGCCCCCGGTCCCGCCCCCCCACAGCGCCCCGGAAGCAGACGCGCAGCGCGGGCCACTTCCGGCAGTGAGGTGGGTTTCTTCCCTGGCGTTCATGCTGGATTTCCTTCCTATATCAGTCTCTGAACTGTACACAGAGGCAATGCAAGGTGCAAGGTAGTGGTCAGAATGCATTTGTAAGGCAGTGTAACAGGGCATGTAAACAAACAGAAAAATCCCAAACAAATGTCACTTCCTTTTTGTCTTTTTACATCACCTTTTTGCTTCCTGCCTCAATGCACATAGAAGTAGACCTGGCAGTTTCAGTATTCTGGTACCAGGTTTTGAGCTTTGGAATAAACATGTTTTCCACTGGAACAGTACAAATTGTATACTACCTTTTTTTACATACTGTTTTGGAACAGAGATTACTAATTTCTTGCTATAACGTCATAAAGTGAAACTTGTCTTTTTCTTGAAAATCAAAAATGTCTTTAGAGTCTTATACCTGTTTAACTGCTTCAGTGCTGTCCAAGAACAAGACTGTTGTGATTTTTTTTTTTGTTTTGTTTCTCCTGTCAAATATCGTGAAGTCAGTTTTTGCAGCAGTGTAATTTCTTTGTGTTTGCTTGTTATGAGACAGTAGACAAGACTCTGAAAGGGCTGATAACGCTCTGCCTCTGTCAGTCACACTGAAATTCTTGACTCTGGCCTAGACACTTTCTTGAAGGAATTTAAGAAGATATGCTGTATTGCTTTACAGAAACATAGTATTAAGCTCTGTGGAAGAAGTGAAACAATTCCTCACATAGTTTCATGTTCATTATACTGTTAGCTCTCTGATTGTCTGCAGGACAGTGCAGGTTAATAGGGCCAGTAGGATCTGATGCTTCTAAAATAGGGAAAGAAATATATCTGCTACCCATTGCAAACAGGCTGGAAGAAGCAAACCATTCTTAGGCTGTTAAGGATGAGCCATCTCACTTTTCTTCCTCGTAAATGCTGCCTCTGAATCATGATAAATACAGCTGGTATCAGATTTTATTCCTCCCCATATTCTTTAATGGGATTCTTACTGTGCACCTTCCAGTGGTGGGTGGTCTCCTCTCTGCTCACTTGCTGTCGAAGAAGGCTGGTGTTGAAGTAGAAGTGGGCTGGCCGTGCTCTGGACCTCTCCTGAGGATGGCAGAGGAAGCAGCTCGCAAGCTCCTACCAGGTGAGAACTTGTCCAGTTTGTGTCACCATGCCGTGGTTCCTGAGGGGACTGGTGTGTCTGATGAAGGTGGCACCGCTAGGTGTGTAAACTCATAAAACACTCCTGCGTTCCCTGAGCTCAAAGCCAGTTTAGCTGGTGGGACAAACATTGTGAAGGGCATGATACGAGTTGTACATATGCATGCCAAATGTTGTATGCTCTCAACACATTAGTTTGTTAAGGGGAAATATATTTAATATAAATAATAAATAAAGGTTGTGAAACAGCAGCTTGTAAAGACAAGAAGATGCAGCCTTATCTACTCCTTTGTGGGCTGCCCTGCAGGTATGGCGCTGTTCCCTTGTGTGCTGTGCACCCTGGGCTGCCACAGAGTAATCACAAGCTCAGAGTTTGCAGTTTTGCCAACCAGTGTGTCTAGTTTCATTTTGACTACCCTGCTTATGCTGTAAAAAAGGAGGTCTGCACTCTGCTGCTGTGGGCAAGATGGAGGAGATCTGCAGTACCTTCCCAGGACTGTATCTCGCTGGGGGTACCCTCCCTGCCCCTCCCGGGATTACATTCATTTTATTCTTTGCAGTTACTGCATTTGCTCTAGTCCCATTTCTTGCCCATGAGTAGTGGAATGTGAGGCACATGTTTGCTTGACAGTCTGTCAAACGTGACAGTGAATGCTTCTGTGAACCAAAAATACTGTTTCAGCTTTTCAGACCCCAACTGGGATGCCATATGGAACAGTGAACTTGCTGCACGGAGTAAACCCTGGGGAGACCCCAGTCACCTGTACTGCTGGAATTGGTACATTTATAGTGGAATTTGCCACTTTAAGCCACCTTACTGGTGACCCAGTGTTTGAAGATGTTGCCAGGAAGGCTTTGAAGGCACTGTGGAAAAATCGCTCAGATATTGGGCTGGTGAGTGAGGAATGGACTTTGAACTTGCTGGCCTGCTTTTTGTATAGTTTTGTGGATGCAGTTCTAAGCATAAAAGAGCATAAACAGAGACAAGATAGAACTAGATAAATAACCACAGTGCTAATAACTGGGCTGAAGGCATGTGTTTGACATTGTTCCCAAACACCTGCAGCATCCACATCTCTGCTTCAGTGGTGCAGTACGACATGATGCCATTGTTCTGGTCTGTAACAGATGTGGTTGGGAGACAAATGCCTTCTGCTGGGTATTGCAGTTTTTGTAACAGCAGCTGTAACAGATAAAAGGTTTGTCTAATGCCTGGTAGGACAATGGGCTATCAAAGAAAATAAGGGCATGGCAAGTGGACCAAGATATTTTACCAGTTGACAGCCTTTGGTGTTTTAGGAATATCCAGAGCTAGAAGCATTATCTCTGTGTTTACTGTCTCCTGGTCAGTCTTTCTTCAGTGAATTTCTATAGCTATACCCCTAATCCTTGTTCAGGAAACTGAATAGCTGGGGTTTTTTTTCTTTGCTAAGCAAGTCATGATTGTGTATTTTGTTCTCCATCAGCTGGGTCTGTTTCTAGGCTGAAGAGTCCCAGGATTAAAGGATCTATTTAATTATTAGCATGGCAGCTCTCATGCCTTTGACATCCTTGGCCTCCATCTCTGAATCTCTACCTCTTCATCCTTCTCTAATCTTTTGTAAGGTTGGAATTAGGACCAGACACATCATGTTGAAATTGTGCATTTTTACAGTAGCGTAACGGTGTTTTGTTCAAGTGCAGCGTTTATACCGTAAGCATAAAGTTGGAATGGACATTGTGAATCTAGGAAATAGATGGTCTGAAAAAAGGTCAACGTTTTCTTGTGTGGTGGTGGTGTGGGGATTTTCTAAAATTATAATTGAGTAGATTAGCTTTATTTCCACTTTAACTCCCTCTTTCCTCCTCCCTCACTCCTTCCAGGTTGGTAACCACATTGATGTGATAACGGCCAAGTGGGTGGCCCAAGATGCTGGCATTGGGGCGGGAGTGGACTCCTACTTTGAATACCTTGTGAAAGGAGCCATTCTCCTGCAGGACAAGGAGCTGATGTCCATGTTTCTAGGTGAGCAGTTTGTTTTCTGTGTGAAGGGTCCCAGGAATGCCTCCTTGACTGCACCTGTAAAAACTCTGCATGTGAGACTGGAAGAAGAAGATGAAGAATCTTAACAGGGTACATTCAAGGCTGTTCCTGAAGCATTTGTTGTAATACTTTTGAACAACCTGTGATAACAAAGAGTTACCAAAGTGAGCATCCTGAGAAGTCATTCACTTGACATGGCTCAAGTGAAAAGGGGGCTTCTCATTCTTAAAAAGGATTTTTTTTGTTGGATTACCTACCCATCTATGTTTCTTTATAGAATATAACAAAGCTATCAAAAATTACACAAAGTTTGATGACTGGTACCTCTGGGTTCAGATGTACAAAGGAACAGTGTCCATGCCTGTTTTTCAGTCCCTGGAGGCCTACTGGCCAGGCCTACAGGTAAGAGCTGTCATACCAGTAGCATATGGTCATCTGTCTTGGGTCAGGCTTTAATATAAAAGTTACAAATGTAACCCACATATGTGCTGATTAAAAGTTTGTTTTGATCTCTGGTAAAGTCTACAGTAGCTTGAGCCTGTACAAGAGCAGATGTTGACTTTGTCTATGGTCTAGAGAAAAAGTCTCCGACTAAGCGTGATGGCAGAGCAGTTTTGTTGTAGCAAACTTGACTGACAGTGGTCTCATAATCCAGGTGGGAACCTAAGGAAAAAGGCAATCACACCTCTTTTTCTACCACCTCATAAATGCTTTATTTGTGTGAATGCTTTCCCATTGAGAGGTTTGCTTTGTCATCAGTACTTAGGTTTGGTCTGGGTGTTTGTTATCCCTACTGAAATAGACTGGATGCTGTGACTAACTAAAAGAAATTTTGACTGAAGAAATGCAAGCTTCTGCTAACTAAAAATCAAAGAGACTTCATATTATTTCAGGTGTGTGGATTGTGATCCAACAGAAAAACAGCATCTGTCTCCTCTTCAGTCTTACCTTTCTTAAGCATCGTGCCTGAGTATTAGTGACACCGCTCAGACCTGTTCAACAACCCATTTCTGTCACTATCTCTTGCTTTGACTATAGGAGTGTTATTGCATCAATTTCTGGGCTGTTTCTTCTTCACCCAGATGTTGCTTTGTTAATTGTTTCCTCTCTCTCAGAGCCTAATTGGGGATGTAGATAATGCCATGAGAACCTTCCTCAACTATTACACTGTCTGGAAGCAGTTTGGTGGGCTGCCTGAGTTCTACAACATTCCCCAGGGCTACACGGTGGACAAGAGGGAAGGATATCCACTCAGGCCTGGTAAGCAGAAATAAAATGAAGAGAAGCATGGAGTGCTGCTTTGGCTCTGGTGGTAAGATCAAATGTTAGCAACACCTGCCCTCCAAAAGCTCCTCCCCAGTTTTGCTTTGACTTAGTTCCTGCATGCACTTTACCAGTGATTTCCATAGTCAAAGCTACAGATTCTGCTTTCTGCCTTCACAAGGTCAGGGCTACCTTTTAAAGGGAACAAACTGTGGTGTTACTGTGTAACAAGGGCCTGTTAATAAATTGGGCTCATGTAGAATTTGTACATGTTTGTACATGTTCTACATTGATGTAGAATTTGACATGTTTAAGAGTTAGACTGTCTGACATAGGATGTTTTGAGGTCATGCAAAACGTTAATGTGACTGCCTGTGTCCTTTAAATTTAGGACATGAAAGTGAGTATGAATAGACCACTCTAGTTCTGTTGAGTTCCTGAATTAAACCAATTCCAGTTGCATTAGTAAAGCTCAACCTGTAAGACTGATTATGTGATGTCTGTGATACTGCAATTAAATGATCTGTCTTTTTTTCTGTTTTTCACAACTGACAAAAAAAAATATTCACACCTGATTATTAGGTCAGTAAAGTTTTGTAAATGAGGGTAATTAATTTCCTTTTGGTTTGAGTGTTCAGCTGACACTCACATTGGACACTTCTACAAAAATACTCATCAGCATTACCTTTCAGAGGTATTACAGCAACGAAAAAGACCTGTTTCTTTAGGAAGTAAACACAACAAAGTGCACGTTGCCTATATAGAGTATTTCCCTAATGCCTGTTTTTGTGGTGTCTTAGATACCCCTCTTTCAGAAGGTTGTGATGTCATTTTAAAAGTGTGTTTTGGGGGTTGAATTTCTTGTTTGCAAGACTTTCTAGAAGCATCTTTCTTTTCTTCCTTTGACAACTAAGTTTTAATCCTTTTCTCTCTTGCTCCCCTCCCACTCCCTGAATGTGGGAGGGGAGCATTATTCACTCTTACCTGAGCTGATGCAGTCTGGTTAGAGTGAATTTCTTTGTAGCACATCCTTAGTAAAAGCAAGTATCTGTGCTTTGAGTCAGAGGAAAACCACTGTTTTACTGATCATCCTGAAGTAGTATTTTTAAGTTAGTTCAAGGAATATCTCATCTTCTCTGTGTACATGGTTTGATAATCTTTTTATGGTTGGAAATGTTTGGGGATGTTTTGCAGAGCTGATTGAGAGTGCAATGTATCTGTATCGTGCTACAAGAGATCCCACGCTCTTAGAACTGGGAAGAGATGCAGTGGAGTCCATAGAAAAAATCAGCAAGGTGGACTGTGGATTTGCAACTGTAAGTGCTAAGTCAACTGCTGAGTCAGCTAAGTGGCTGCAAAAATCAGCTTTTAGAAAGTGTTCTCATGAATGATGTTTTGCTGTTGAGTCAAGTGATCACTGTGGTTGGAACGTGACTTCTTTTCAAACAAAGCCCTTGTATTTCTTTGGGAAGCTGATCTGGGTAACTGCTGGTCATGCTTCTGGTAGTAACCTCCCTCACAGCCTGAACACTGGGACAAGTTCTATCATTGGCTGTGGCACCAGAACCCAAAACATGGGAAAGCATCAGAAGGTTTTGCCTCCAGTACCTTGGTAGGTACTCGATGTTCCAGCTCAGCAGGAAGGCTTATGTACGCTCTGCCTGCCAGTTGTGTGATTGTGCTTTCCTGCTGTGCCATGCAAATCTGATCAAACACAGAACTGCAGTGAGTGACTTCTCTAAAATAATTTAGTAGAAGATTTCAAACATTCTATCAAGTTCTACTTCACAAAAAAACACCTTGTAAGTATTGGGAATTAGGCCTTGTTATTTGGGAAGTAGGTAATAGCCTTATGATTTTTTTTTAGTGGGGGAAATGATGGAAAACTGACTTACACTTCTCCTTACCCAGGTAGGAAATGTGTTTCTCCTGATTGTTAGTTTCCTGTTCCTTGTCACTAGACTATGTTAATTTAAAACATTGTTGATGTATTTGCATACAGCTGTTTAAAATACAGGGTAAATTGGTGCCATACTGTGCTGTTTAACTGAAATGAATTGCAAGCTGGTTTTACCTTTCCCCCTAACAATATAACTAACCTATTGTATTTCTTCTCTTGTAGATCAAAGACTTAAGAGATCACAGGCTGGATAATCGCATGGAATCCTTCTTTTTGGCTGAAACAGTAAAATACTTGTACCTGCTGTTTGACCCAGACAACTTTATTCACAATGATGGATCAGTCTTTGATGTGGTGATTACACCATACGGGGAATGTGTCCTGAATGCTGGAGGATACATCTTCAACACTGAAGCTCATCCTATAGACCCTGCTGCACTACACTGCTGTAGGAAGCGTAAGGAAGAGCAGTGGGAGGTGGAAGACTTGATGCGGGAATTCTACTCACTGAAGAAAAACAAGAAATTCACTTTAAAAAGAGCTTCTGACCATGGTGAAGGGGAAAGAGCAAAAGACCCTGAAGATGCCCCTTCAGAAAAAGGTGGAGAAAAGAGGAACTTTAAGAAAAGCTCACACTCCCTTCTGAGTTGCCCCAGTCAATCTTTTAATTCTAAACTTGCAGTACTGGGACAGGTCTTCCTAGATAACACCTGATTCTTTTTTCATGATAAGTTTAAATTATTGAACTTGCTTCAGACTCTGGGAATATATTTTTATAGTTTCATAATGGAAGTGTCGTACCTCACAATGTGAATTGTATTATGAAGTGAAACAGCTTCCCATTAAATTCTGCTACTGCTCATTCAGAAGTGCGATTTGGGTATCAGCTGTTAATACTGTAAAGCCGATAATCTCAAACCAGTTTGTTGCCTGAATAGCACGCAGGTGTTCAGAAAGAGAAGGAAAAGTACAGGTTAGAGGTACCTTGTTTATTTCATTGTGAGTTTGTATTGAAGTTTTACAGGCTTACTCACAGTCCACAGCTTACTTTGTTCTATAAACATGAGTCTGAGCAGTTGCCTATCATAAGGGGAAACGCAGGGACTGCTAGCTGTGACTTCACTTCTGAGCCTACAAGTCTCCTTTGTAATGTGCTCCACCTTTTCCCTTTGGCCTCTTTATGAACATGTGGTTTGGTCGACAGAGTAATGACCAGTCGAGAAAACCTGTTGATTTTGAGGTGGAGGCCCAGATTTGTAGAGCTAGCATTCTGCTGGGCGTGAAGGATGGCCTGGGGGGAGGAGAGCACTTGCATCACAGAAGAGTGCTCAGTTCCTCTGGATGTAGAATCAGGGGGGGTCGGTGCCACCTGCCTGAAAGTGGTTTAGTAAACAGCCAGATAATATAATCTGTAAACCGAGGTGGAGTGTGGACTAGCAAAGGTTTATTTTACCCTGCAGTGGAGCTTGATTTTATTCTTAGAGAATGCAACATGCTTTTCTTATGAAACTTTCCCATTTCCTTCCTCTTTTAAACTTCCCTTTGGGGCCTTGCTTGCATAACTCCGCAACTCTGGTCAGTGAAGTTTGGCCTCAGGGTGGACCAGCTGAGCTGTATGTGTAGTGTGTGTAAGGGTAGGATGGAAGGGGACTTGGTTCAGAGTGAAATGCAGCTCTCCCTTGGTGCAAGAGACAGCCAAACAGATGTTCACAAGCTGCTCCCTGCAGCAGGCAGTGAGAGAACTTGTGACTCTTCCTCTCATGTCTTTTTCTTACCAGGTAAAAAGCGTGAAACCTCTTGATGTCCAGTTGACCTGACAAATATGAACTGTTAAATGTGTTATCAGTGTTTTTGACAGATGTATGCAATTACAGAAAGAGAGAAATCAGTAGCATTACAAAGCATTTTTATTTCCAAAGAAAAAAGCAGGGGGCAGAAAAGGGATGGACTTTGTTCAAGCCTGCTGGAAAGTGTGGAGTCTGGAGCAAGCACAAACAAGCTGTAGTCATTTGAGTGGGTTAGAGATAAATAAATCCATGTGGCCCGTGAAATAGTTAAATACAACTGGGTGAATGCCCAGTCTTTGCTGATGTGGGGTTGATTTGAGAAACTATTGGTTTTGTCTCCTACTCTTCAGGATGGAAATCTTGTTGCAGTTGTGAGTAAACAGACGTAAAGGACACTTGCAACTTTGGACAGACAAACATATTGGAAGGACTGGTAACCTCTACAGACCCTTCCAGTTCTATACTTGTTTTCTTTTAGCAGGTGGGACAGCTGTTGCAGGGGAAGTACTGAGAGTGGAGCACTCTAAAATTGAGGCATTCTTAGCCAGAGATGGAGCACTTGTTAGTGGCTCCTTGTAACCATAATGCTATCTTTTTCTTTTCCAGTTGTTGATCTCTTACACTATGCATTGTCTGATCTGTAGAACGACAAAATGCAGGCCTTCTGCAGTGGCTTAGCTTGGTGCTCAGTCCTGATTCTTCTCAGTATTGCCCCACCCATGAAGTAGAGGAAAACAAGGATTTATGGGACAAGCTGCAGATTACCAGCACTGTAGATCTCTAACCACAGCACTTTGATACCCTCACCTATGAAGCTTCAGTAGCAGAACCACAGGGTAGTAGCCTTAAGAGTTATGATCTTTCCAAAGCACAGTTGGAGCTGAAAGAACTGATCTGTCCACAGTTCTACAGTGAGGATGGATCTTGATTAATACTACAGGATGGATGATGAGTCAGAACAACACAAGACAGCCTTAATTTTGGTTTGTTCCAGTATTTGAGAGTGACTACCATCTTACTAAGACCTTCTTTTAACAGAACTGTGATATGATTTTTAGGGATTCTTAGTAACCCTTTTCTTTAAATGGAAAACTGTGGCTTGGCCTAGCTGCTGAAGGGCAGAGAGCATGCTTGAACCTTAGTGACACGTGTACAAGTTGTGCTTGTAGGCAACGTGATGAAGGACAGATGTTTGGGAATCTCTAGGGGATGGTGGGATGAAATCGTCAGTGTCTGGCTGTCCCACAAGAGATCAGATTTCATTCTCTGTATGTATAACATAAGAGGTTCTGCTGTTAGTGGCAACTTGATGGATTCAAAATTACTATCACAAGTCAGCTGGGAAAAAAAATAAAGCTAAAACTTGCCATCTCCTGCTGCCACTCCTCCCAGGGGCCTCACAATGAAGGCTATCTGTGGGAAGAGATGGCGAATCTATTTTAGTGTATTCCAGCTGGAGGGAGAGCTCCAATCAAGCAATATGGTGAGCGCTTGGTCATGTTAACAGAACATAGAGGAGGTTTTGTCAGGAATCCAAAATGAGATGTGTGTGAAACACAGATGGGTAGTGGCAATCTTGGATGGCTTCCAAACGAGGCAGGTCAGCACTCAAAAGGTCCCACCTACAAGTGCATACTCATGGCATCTGCCAAAGGCTGGAAGGAAACGAGTTTTGTCGAGTTGTGAAATATAGCACAGAAACCAAATTTAGCATTTTCTGTCGAGGCTGTCCTTGTAATTGTTTGTTTTTCTGGTTTTTTCCTCCACTCTAAGCAGCCTGCAAAGCCCAACCCATAAGGCCAGATTTTCTGAAGTATTTAAAAAATAATTGTTTGGATTTGGAGAGGCTGTGAATTGATGGAAGGTCAAACGCCTTCTTGAAAGACTAATTTAGTGGGGCTAACAAAAGCGAAGGTAGAGGAAAAAAAGAGTCAGACCTTCATATGAACTGCTGGCAAATGGCAAAAAACATACCAAAAAGCAAGGGAGGCGGGGCAGGGGAAGCAGTATGAAAACGGACAGAGCAGCCTTTTGTATTTGGGTGAGTGTGAGTGTGCAAGTGATAAGATTGCTATGTTTGCATTTCTTCAAATGCAGCGCTTAGTGGCTTTCTGTGAACAGCAATTTATCTAAACAGCAAGTCATCCATTAACAGATCTTGCTTTTTACAAATAAAACTGTGATCATCATCAGGCCCATGAATTAGTCATGGTGGTGAGAAGTGATGTTTGACCTGATACTGTAAAACTTCCAAATACATCACCTGGATGCCATCACAGCACTGCTTAGGCAGTGCTATTAAGCATCATGTTAATCCCCGGTGTCTCCATTGCTTTGTATTGTTCCTTGTACAACAAAGGGAAGTTAAAATGGAAATTGAACTAAGGCCTGCATTTAAAGCAGTCACGATTTTGGGCATCATCCGTATCATATGCTGTGCTCCTTGCTGTCTCACCAAGAATTAGAGCTGGGCTGCTCCCTGGGACAGGCAGTAACCGCTCTAGATGACAGTGGGGTGTTTGGGACCATTGTCACCTCTCGGGTCCCTCTAAGCTGCTGCCTGGATGTTAGTCAAGATCTTGCTCCCAAGCGTCCATCTTCCCAACACTCTGTCTCCTTTGACTTTGTGTTTGGTTGGTTTTCTCTAAACCCTTGGAGGCATTTACGCTGTTTTGCTTCGGTGTGGAGAGCAGCATCTGCCTCAGCAGGTTGTGTGAGTCCAGCTTTCTCCCCGTCTTCCAGGGGCAGAGCAGGTTTGTGGTAAAGGTCTGCCGTGGGGCTCTTCATGTGATCACAAGTCTCTATTCTGTCATTTTTCTCATTTGATTAGACAGCTCCTTGGGCGCAGTGCTACGGGTTTTGGTTCTGCCTGCGTGTGTGAACTGCTCACTCGAGCCGGTGATAGTAAATTAATAGGAAATGTAAAAAGTAGATGTAGGTATTTTGATGGAAATTAAGTTATGAATAGAGGACAGGCGACTCCTGTCGCGGCCCTGCCGCCTCAGCAGCCCCCGGGGAGAGATCAAGGGGCGGGGGAAGGGCTGCCGAGGCCGCGGCCTCCCCACGCGGGGCGGGGCTGGGG